GACAAATGACAATTTTCACTAAATAACTGAAACGAACTCATACAAGGGGCGAACGGAAACGGAAATACGGAGGAAACCCCTTAAAAACCGAGTAGAAGTCATCACAAAATAACAGGGCAGCAGCACCAGCAAGTCGTCAAAACAAAAGGGACCTTTCTTTGGCCAGGAATCCTGTGTAAAACTTGGCGTAAAACGGGGCGTATACTTGATGAAGTTGAGAGCGAGGGAAATGTAAATAAACCCACCCACCCACACACACACCTCCACACCTAGCTGAGTCAATGTTTGGGTTGAAAACCACTTGAAGAATTATCTAAGCAAGCGGTTAAAGAGTTGCCTCCTTGGGTTACTTGAGGAAATGGGTATCCTTCTCAAAAGTTATCAAGAAATACAGTGGATAATGGTTAAATAAGAACTTCTTTGACATCAAGGCAATGGGGGTTTCCCACTATTTTTATGTCCACTGTGTCGGTTGCGGAAACCGCGAAGGAAAAGCAACACTTTGCCGAGATTGCAGTGCATTCAATTGAGCAGACAAGTAGCTGTGAGAATCTCGGCAAACTTTACACAGAACCGTGTCCCTGACCACCCCTTAAACATGTTTGCCCGGACTTGGACCCGATCCCGAGCCCGGTTAATTGAAAGGCAGCCACTTGGCTAATGCCGGTGGTGGACGACGTCCTGGAACCAAGGATGGATGCAGCCCGGGATCCCTCAAAGCCTCCTTGCAATGGCACTGGCTACAAACTAATCAATTTAAAAGTTTTCAACAAAGTTTTGTGTGTGCGATGAGCACTCACTACGCACCACGTACTTGTCTGCTTCTGGTTGGGTAAATCCCGGGCGGAGCGCCGTGCCACGCCTAATGGGAAAAGCGGAAGTTGCGAAGGAAATTCGGGTTGGCGACGCTGCAGCGGCAGCAGCAACAACAACAGTTAACGAAGGGAACCAAAGCAACTGCAACAGCCGGGGGAAATATATAGAAACAGCGCGTGGCGAACACAGCGAGCAGTTGTTCTGCATTTCCGTTTCCGCTGGCGGCGTTGCTGTTTTTTTTACCCACCCCTCGCTTTTCAGCGCCCTCTTAGCCAACAGAACAAGGCACTGGCATAAAAAGGGTGCTAGTTTTTTTTTAATAAAAACACATATATATATGCTTTAAGTTATAGTTTTGATAAAATTATGAGTGAAATACACCGTCTAGTAGGTGTAGGTGTAGTTTTTCTAATTTAGTGATTTGTTTAAGGTTAGAATAAAATTTACATTTATTTCATATCAATATCTTTCAGTGTATCCTCCTTTTGCAGATTTACACAGAAATAAACAGAGCAATAATTCAATAAAAACCCCGTGCAGTTTTACAGTTGGTGTTATCCTTTTGAAAATATTTACCTCAAAGCCAACTCTCAAGCGTCAGAGCTCCCTGATGGCCTGCATCCGTAAGTTTTTTAAATAGAAACAGGAAGCTACTTGGATGGAATTTGTTATATTTTATAAAATATTTATGTAATACAATTTAGTTTCAAAGTCTAAATTTAGACTTCCTTCGTTTTTGATTCTTTTCTTTCAGGTTAAGAATATAGTGTATAAATTAATTATACAGTCCAAATATGGAAATTTAAATGGATTAAGAGAACACCATAATTTTCCCCCAGTGCCGTCAATGGCAAGTGCATTGGCATTGTCCTTGCTTATGATGAATGTGCGTCCATGTAACTGAACACTCAAGCAGCGAGGACATGGACAATGTCTGCAAATATTCGCCAAAGCTGAGGGAGGGGCGGTTCGGGCCCGTTCGCATCGCTAAATAGATAAATTGAAAAAGTTGCGCGTTTCAAATGTTTTGCAAAAGCAATTAGTTTGACGCTTCGGGGGCCTGAGAGCTCCTCTCCTCCTCCACTCCGCTCTACGCAGCATCAGCATCGTATTGCAATTAGCGAACATAGAGAGCGGCGGGCGGGAAAAACAATACGAGCGCCAAATGGACACCAAATGGAGGAAAGAGATGCTGGAGCTGGAGAGATGCGACTGAAGCCACCGAAAACCAAACCGGCCCAAACTGGCCAACCAACCAGTTAACTGAAAACGCTGAATTATGAGCCGTGACCGCGGGAGAGCCAGAGTCCTGGCCGGCCTTCTGTGCCTTTGCGTGCAGCGCCTCCCAAGCGATCCCAAAACCAATTCGGTGGCCGCCAATCCCAATCCCATGTGCCACTGTCCCTATATCCCGCCTCTCCTCCTCCTACTCCTCCCCCGCCCCCGCCCCGACTATAGAACGATCGATTGGGGAGCTGCCTTAGGAGGGCCCAAAACGCATTAATACCAAAATCAATCGGGCCAAATTTCGAAAAATAAAACAAGCATATTTGTAGGGAGAGTCAAAGAGAGTTATGGAACTTGATTATACCCTAAAATTTAAAAATTATATTGTAATTAAATATTTTAAGTTCATAAGTAGTGTAAAGTAAATAAATAGAGAAATATTTAACCTTATTTTAAGGTTATTTTAATTCAAACCATCTGTATATATAATTAGTATGGTTTGTGAAACAATTTATTTTATTGAGCTCAAGTCTTTAAATTCATTTCAAGTTCTTTTCTATTTAGTTTTCACCTTTCTTTACCATAAATCCGACACTTTAATTGAAACAAACTGACAACTATAAATAAACCTCAAGTATAAATGATTTTGTTATGCATTTTTTATGGCAAAATAATAGAGAGATGACAGAAGCTGTTAAATAAATTACGAACTCGCCTAGTGATACCGATTTAGGGAATTTTATGTAATCCTATTCGTAATTTATTAGTTACAAATAAATTATAAATAATAAAAATGAAAAACTCTAAGGTGTACTATTAATATTTAAATGGCAAACAATCATAAACATATTCATTCCTAAAACATTAATTATTTAAAGATTTTTAAAAGCAAATTTATCAATTTAATTATTAAAAACCTCCTCTCACTTAAACTCCCCCCGCATTTAAAGGGTATTTCGAACTGGTCGCAGCTGTGGTGACGGCAAAGAATTCCACGAAAATCAGTTGCGATTTTCCACAGGGCCAAAGGCAAAGATAGTCGTCGACGGGGTCCCGTTCGAATCGAGTTCTAATTGAAGCTTGTTTGAGTGTATATATGTGTGTATGTTTGTATGTATGGATGGAAATGGTGGCCGGAAGTGGGTGATGGGGCGGGGGAAGTGGCGACCATGGCTGAATTGGCTCTGGACTGTTCGTTCGATTGGGACATTGAATTAATTACATTTACACGGCTCCTCGACCACCTCTCTTCTCTCCATATATCTCGATTTTCCTGCCTGGCTGATGGTGTTTTGAGTGTTAATTAAAAATTGCATGTTAAATAGGGGCTGACATTTGTGGCTTTTATTTTGGTGAGTGAGCTAAATGGATGCCGAAATTTTCAGCTGAGGGAATCAATAGGATTTCAAGTGGTTTTCTGTCCTTTTGTCTGAAAATCAAACGTTCTTGCATTCAGATTGTAGGCCATTTAAATTAAGTTACTTTGGAAACCCGAAACCATTAAATTGGTTCATTAAATATAATAATACTTTTTATTTATTTACTCTCCCGCCCATTATATAGGCCAAGTCCTCTAGAACTAACGAAGCCACTTGCGTGGCTCGCCCTTCGACCGGCCTTAATTACCTCTAAGTACTTTCTGGCGGTCGGGGGTCAAAGGATAACTAATATCCCTTCGGGTTCTTAAGCATGCGCCAGTTAAAACTTGGCCAGAAAACTCGAGGCAAACGATGCTTCCCTTTTTCTGTGAGCAGGCAAATTTTTTAATATAAGCTTTGAGGCAGCCTGTGTGCCCTGTGGTCAAGTTAGATTTTGCTCATTTATTTACGAGATAAACTTTTGATTTGTTGTGCCAGCTGGAGGGGAAAAAGTGGGGTGGCCAAAATCATTTTATTACCGAAAATACTATTTGCTAAGCTCTGTGCTTCCGCCACACTCCATCCAAGTCTAATAAAATAAATTTAATATGCGATTCTTGCCCCCAAAGCTTCGGGGTAATTCTCGCTTATTATTACCCCCTCAAACTCCACCCTCCCGAGGAGGCCCACTTCCGCCTCACGAAAACTGTAACGCTTCAGTTAACAAACTTATGGCATCATAAAAAACTTTTTAAATAAATTCTCGCGAGGATTTTTATGGTCAGTTTGTAATAAATAAATATTCTCAATCCAAAAAGCGGCAGTGGCTTAAATTTTCTTGGTCTCTTTTTATCTTAGACTTAATGTAGGATTATAATTTGATTTACATCAGTTGTAAGGGGATTAAACGGATATATATATTCCTCATCATTTAAAAGAAAATAGTTCGATAATATTGGTTCGATATCGAATTACCGCAACATCAAAATATCGGTTTATAAAACTTGATGTTATCGGAAAGCAAATATATATGGCAAACGCAAACGGTGAACGCGAAAACAAATATGCAATCTAGCGCCCCGCGGAGTTTATCGTGGCGATTTATACTTTGAACCGCCAAACATGGAGAGAGCTATGAGATAAGGCATATCAGGGGAATTAGCAAACAGTAGCTATATACACATAAATGTTTGTGAAGAATAGGTGTAGGTGTCACACACACACACTCACTCTTTCAAAGGCATATAATTAATATGCAATAACAACATATGGGCGCGCCAACGCCGCCCATTTCTCACACATGACAGAAAAGTCACTCCACCCACTCGCAGTAATCTTGGGAGTTGGCAACTTGCGTGACTTTGAGGAAAAGATAGGAGCTAAAAGGTCACAGACATGCCAAGTACAGTCGGGATTCAATAAATCGAAACTAAACTTTTGCCATGATTAAAGGGAAGTAAGTGTTTTGTTTTTTTGTTGCAGAACTTAAAAGAAATATAAAGACAAATCAAAAGGGTTAAAAAGATTACTGATTTTCCCTAACAAAGATTCACCTTACGTAAGTGTCACTGTGTCTCGAATCAATATTAAAAACATGCCTTAATATTTTGTGCTTTATTGAGAATTTACTATACATTTACAAAAAAGTGTGTTAACATCCAAAGGTAATAGTCGTAATCATGTAATATTGTCACCGGAATTGCCGACATTTAAATGCCCTACGTTGGTTTTAAACTTAACGTTTTATATACACGCATCGTTCATTGTTCATTGTTTATCGTAAATTTTTAAACGTTCATCGTTCATCGATTCTTCATTCTATTATTCACTTTTAATCCTTGATCGTTCACCGATCGATCCTTAGATGCCCGTGCTCTTCTCTACACCGAGAACGTATTTGTTGTAGCCCTGATTGAGCTGCTCCAGCAGGATGAAGGTCAGCACAGTGTGTGGACCCAGGCGGCAGTAGTACGGGGTGAAACCCTTCCACAGGGCAAAGACTCCCTCCTGTCGAGCCACACGGAGCAGGACGTCGGCGGTGCCGCTGTATTCCGGCTTGCCGTCCACCATCTTCATGTTCTGAATACGGGTCTTGGCAATGTCCAGTGGCATCGATGTCATGGTGGTCAGCAGACCGCTCAACATGCTGGCGCAGAAGTGCAGCTTGATGCCCTCCTCCATCTGCAAGGGACCGTTGCGGAAGTAGGTCTTGAACTGCGAGTAACTGGCCAGCTGGGTCATGTTAACCACCATGGCACGGCCCACAGTGGGCAGACTGCCTCTCCACAGGGCGGTGAGGCCCTCCTCCTTGGTGATCCTGGTCAGAGCATTGGCCACATTCGTGTAATTCCTACGTTCCGCTACCGGCAGACGACCATCGGAGGTCATGCGCACAAGTGCCACCTCTGCTGGCGTCCCGATGAAGGCACCGCAGGCGCCAGCAATCGTCCCCATGGCCATGCTGTCCGTGATCCCGGGGTTACGCTGGAATCGCTCCCTGAACAGATCGTTCAGGTACGTGTACACGCCCAGTCGGCCGGTGGTGTAGGTGGCCTGCCTCAGCAGTGCAGCTCCGATTCCCTGGTAGAGAGCCAGGGGTCCCTCCTTGCTCACAACGGTCTGGAAGCAGTGGAAGGAATTGCGGTACTCCTTCTTGCCACTGCCGGCTCCCGAAATTTGCATGCGGGTCTTCACCTGAAAAGGGGACAGGCTCGGGGCGTTAGAAGGTTGCTATTTTAGGATGTTCATCTTGATGGGCTTACCAAATCCAGAGGCTGCACCACCATGGTGGCTCCCATGCCCGAGAGACCGCCGAAAAGGAATTTGATGGCATTGGAGGCCGTCGGCGCCTTTTTCGGCGCCTCCTGAACTTTTTTGTCACTCATTTTCCTTTATTTCTGGCTATGATTACACAACACGTAGTAAATGCTATGCTCGCTCTCTCGAGATTGCTTGCAATTTCCAGTTTTCGCTGGCCGGAAAAGCTCGGAAAAATCAACAGCAGCAGCCTCGGCAGAGGGGAATGTGGAGGAGGTGGAGCACCTTTCCGCGACTGTGGCACAATTAATAATGATGATTCTCTGCACCCGCACACGCACTTGGCCAACAGCTGATACGGGCTGGCTGGCTGGCTTTTCTTGGTATTTGTGGATGATTATTTCCTAGTTTTATTTTTTGCTCGGCGGCGCGTACGCGAATGTTGTTCAATGTCAAGCGCGTCACTGGCGAGAGAAAAACGCTTTTCCCGCCTTTCCCGCGGCTCTATTTTCGGCACTCGAGGCACGTGCTGCTTGGCTGCTATTTGGGTGCGTGGCCGCGGTATGTGCCGTCTTTTTATTGTTTTATTTATTTTCACTTGCAGTCCGAGAAATTATTGCAGCCAGCGGCAACAACACCAAAACACATCTGGTTGTTAGTGGGCCACAGCTGATGACGTGTGCGGGCGAGAGAGCCAGAGAGCGGGTGAGCGCGAGAGCGGCGGCGCCAGTGAGAAGCAGGGTTGCCAGACGGGCGCAGTGTTGAACTATTAAGTTTTTTGGTGTTTTCTTTTGTTTAGTGTCTTCAGAGAATTTTACTGACAGAATGAATTTCAAACGAATGATTTTAAAGGAATGCTTGTTAAGCCATAAGATTTTTATATCAAATAATGAGAATCAAATTTTTTATGAATGAAAAATTTAAATGTTGGCTTTTAAATGCATTTATAAGATATTTTTATTTTGACTATTACATATTTCCTAATAAGTTCACTAGTCACCATCACCTGACAACCCTAGGCACTCTCTCATGCGGTCTAGCTTTCTCGCTCTCACCTTCGGTTCACTAAGAGACCAAAAAACAGTGTTGCTAAACACCAAACAGCTGAGCGCCTTGACCGCACTTTTAAATTTGCGATTGCAAAGAGAATTTGTTCGGTCAATTAGCATTTTCCGCCGTTTCTTTGTTTTTTGTTTACACAAATTATTCGCCCACACACAAAGTCACATTGGCAGCATTCACCACATTTCTCACATATCGCAGAGAGACCTGCAGCGCATTAATAACACCTTTGAGTACAAACATACATACATAGGTAAATACATATGTTTTCCTTATCGTATTTGCTCGCTGCCTCTATTTGGAATCTGCTTATCGAAGCACTGCGAAGAAATGTTTGCTGCGGTTTTATCGTAATTGCGCTAATTGACATTCTCATTTCAGTGAAATTCAATTTGTGACGGAAACGTATTGGTTATAAACAGGCATTGATACTGCAGGTACAGTAAAAACTGTTTAAAAACATCATGGAGTAACATTTTACTGTAGAAATTTTGTTTTAAGAGTGGGGAAAGATAATAAGATACTTGGAATATCCTTCGGATTAAGTTTCGGTATTGTGTAAAAGCAAAAAGAGATCATTTTAGAAAGCTTGCAGTTTTAATTTGCATTCTTGGACATAAAAGATAATAGGAACATAATAAGATACTTGGAATATCTTACGGATTCAGTTCCGGAATTGTAAAATAAAAAGAAAGTTCATTTTGAGATATTTTGGAGTTTTCAATTGCATCAGTGGACCGAATTTGAAAATCAATCACAACACATACATATGTACTAATAAATGTTATAAGCGAAAAAATAATATATAAGAAATATAAAGAGTATAATCCTGTATCAACTTCCCTCATAACCCATTTTCACTGTGCAAATCAAGTATAATCAAGTGTTTAAATAAGCTGTAAAAATAAAATGTAATAAACTTGTTTTCGATTTTTGTATCTTCACCCCTTGGTTAATTGGCAAGGTAAACTCAGACCGATAAATACAGAGAATTTGATGCCAAAATTATGGGCACACGCCGGCGAGTTAAATCGTGCCTTTCTCCACCCGTTTGGCGTTCGACAACCTTCACAAGGCCGCGTGGAGGAGGCCCCAAAGACGCACCCGCGGATCGGTGAATTCTACCGAAAATGACAGATAATGACGATGGAGCTTGTCGCCGCACACAACATACATATTATCATTAAATCGCACTCGCAGTCGGTCCGGGATTCATCCATCCAGGCGCATTACGCGCATTCGTTCCGCTTTTCCACCCACCCAGGACTCCTCCCACTTGACGACCCTGGCACTCCCCTCATTCAATCAGAGGAGACTCAACAGATTGCCTGTCGTTTGCCTGCCGTTGAAGCTGAAGCAATTCCAATTCAATTTTAGCAGCGACGACGATGACGATGAGTACGACGACAACGCCGGCTTCAAACGGGGATTTTCCCATTTTTCTCTTTTTGTGTAAAAAAAAGGTAGGGGAGAGGACGACCGAGCACATTGTAAGCAATCAGCAGAGGGCAGCAGCACAGAGGGAAATCTCTAGCTGTCAGGCAGGGATGTAGATAAAAACTACCTACAGAACAGGACACTCCGCGGCCGCATACATACTCATGGCACGGCGGAGAGGACGGCCAGCCACGGTTAATATAATGTCCCCCATACTCAGACTATCGGAAAGAAACTCACATACATAGGACAGATACAGGTGCGGTAAAAAAATTATAATGAAACACTTAAGGAATAAATATAGTTAAAAAAATTATATTTAAATAAGAGTACGATAAAGAGAATCTTGGAGGACGATCTATCAGAAGAAACTGTTTCCCAGAGCCAAGGAAATTGTAACTTAAAACTAATTACAATTTGTAAATATCAATAATAATACTTGATACTTTAATGGGTAATGTTTTCAGAACAAAAAGAATTCTAGTTGATTAATATTTTTCATATGACTTCGGCAAAGGGATGGTAGAAAATCGACATTATATTATTAACGCTAATATTATCTGTTTGATAGATCGGACCAAAGTAATCGGAAAAACAGACAAAAGTATTTCAACTTTGAATCTTAGTGTTTAAGATTTTTCCTGAATATATATTTCCCCAATATACATATATATTAGAAAAGTAATATTACTTTCTAGTGCTATAATTCTGACCCAAACTGTGTAGATACAATCAACCGGTGTGAAGGACATCGTAAGTGAAATTGAACGGTTCAACTTACGTAAGGAGAAAGCGGCGCCCAGGCATGTAAACTATGTGGTTTCGATTGTAACAATCATATAGCGACTGTCGCTTTTAATTTTAAATACTTCAGATTTCATTATTTTCCATTCCAAAAGTAATAACAAATGTTTCCACTTGCCGTTATTCAGAAAGCTGAAATGAAAACAAATAAAATAAAATATGATTTTAATAGAAAATCAAAGGAAAATAAAAGGATACTTAAAATAACAATTAGTACTTAAATTGCTTAAAACTAAGTGAAGGAGTCATTTCCGGCCCTATAAATTATATATATTCTTGATCAGCATCAAAAGCTGAGTCGATCTAACCATCTTTGACAAGAAAAAAAATTTACATATTTTTTCACATCTTTATCATCATTAATTTTACATCTGTAAATTTTTAAAAATTGTCAAAAAATTTTAATTTTAGAAATTTTAGATTGGGTATGCAGATTTATTAAACTACTAAAAACTAGCATAGGACAGCTTTCCGAATTAAATTTAATGCATTTTGACTAAGTTATGAAATTATGAAATTTTGATTTTTAGAACAAATTTTCATATAAAATATAGATAATTATTGGGTCAAAGAATGGTAATATACTCGAAGTCAGAAGCTTGTAACTCTGCCAGGAGGCATTTCCGACCCTATAAATCATATATATTCTTGCATTGCATTTTTGGCTTTTTTATGACATAAAAAAATATTGTTATTTAAATAAAAAATTGTCATATAAAAATATCAAATTTTAAGCTGAGTTATGATCCATTTTTGACATGACCCATTAACTCAATTATGAACTGTAAGGGTTTATAAACTTCGGCTACCCGAATGTAGTTTCCTTTCTGTTATTTTATATAATATAATAAATAAGGTGTTATATTTAATAGTTTCCACTACAAATGTATCATAAATACGCAAGCAAACACATTAAATAAAATTATTATCGATTAAAATATGAGTTTTTGGAAAAACTTGCTCTTGAAAACCCAAGAAGAACCCTCTTCCACCATTTTCCCCACTTGGTAGCTGCCCATTCAGGGAATCTTCGAGTCGCTCGTTTCCGCAAGTGCACTCAATGCGATGGCTTGCCAGGTGCTCTGGCTCTGAATCTGGATATGGATATGGATATGGATGTGGATGTGGATGTGGATGGGGATATGACTGTGGTTGTGGTTTCTAATATGTATGTATGTGAGGCTGGATGGGTTTCTCGACTCAAGACCTCGGAACTCGTTCTGGGCCAATCAATAAAATTTCACGGCGCAGTAATCAAAGCATGTGACATTAGCGTAAAGTTGAATGAGTCCATGGCCCCGGGAGGTGGGTTAAGCTTTTGTGTGGGTGTGTGGTGATAGGATCGTTCGATATAGTATAATACCCCCTCCTCCTTACATCACCTCTGCCCCCTTTAATATTTCCTGGGGTAGAATCAACAGTTTGCCGCCTGCTAATTTTAAACGATAAAAGGAAAGGGAACGAGGGTCGCCAGCGAAGTTCACCTGCAACTTTGGTGAACATTTATTTTTGTGCAGCGCGTTTAGTGATGCGTTAGGGTAAACAGGGGGTTCCTTTTTCCCCCCTTGTGCGTGGGAGTGTGTTTCGGTGCACAGAGAAAAAAAAGATACTGTCATAACTCTGAAGATATAACTAAAGATAGCTAAAAACTTAATTAAGACCATTGAACAAGAGAACCCTTAAATGTAACACTGAGCTCTATGACACAATAGTAGACTTCTGATCTGATTTTCTAAATCTAAATCTAAATATTTAAAGAATCGATCTATTCGAAAATCATTTTGAGCTAGATATAATTTATTCACTTAATAATAAATCATTTGAA